GTTGATTTCAATAATGTCTTTAAATTTAAAAAAGGTGTATTCTTACTTCAGGCTGGAGGATAGCTCTGGGGTTAAGATCACTGGTTCTCTTCCAGAGGATCTGGGTTCAGTTCCAGTACCCATGTAGTGGCTTAAAACCATCTCTAACTACAGTCTCAGCATCTGCCCCTTCTGGCCTCCAAGGGCTCTCACCCGCCTAAGTGGTACAATGACAGACATGTAGGCAAAACACAAAATAGTAAAATATAATAAAATCTTTAAATATTTATTTTTATCTTTAATTGTGTGTTTGTCTGTGATTTTGGACAAGTGTGCACTGGTGGAGGAGGCCAGATGAGGGGAATCCCCTGGGACTGGAGTTCCAGACAGTTTTGAGTCATTCAGTATGGGTGCAGGGAACCAAATTGAAGTCCTTTCTAAGAATGGTGTGCATTCTTAACCTTGGAGCCATCTCTACGGCCCCTTCATTAATATCAAAGACAAGTACATCAAAACTTGGCATACTTTCATTTCAAGATTCAGTTTTTATCTCGTTAATTTTCAAAGAGAATTACACCTTGAGCTTGGACTGATGGCCTAGGAGCAGGGTGCTTTCCTGGAATGTGGAAGGCCCCGTGTTCCAGCCTTACAAGCAAACAAAACAAAGCCAAAGGAAATTGGGCCTGGGGAGGTTGGTCAGTGGATGCAGCACTGCTGTGTAAGTTCCAGTTCTAGCATCTGGACAGAACCCAGGCAGTGGGGGTTACTGTTTTGTTTAAAAAGAAGAAAAGAGAAATGCTGAGACATGAGACATAAGACTATAAGTTTATTATAAGGCCGGGCAGAATGGGGAGACTAAGAAGAGGAACAGGGTAAATGGCTGATCGCCATGGCCGGTAGCCATAGAGACACAGAGCGGGGGGGGGGGGGGGAGAGAGAGGGGAACAGAGAGCACAGAGAGAGTAAGTGGGCAGGGGCCTATCTTTTAAAGGGGTCCTCTGTATCTGCGTGCAGACTTAGTTCCCATGGAACGTTGGGCCGACCAGGGTACTGCCTGTTCAACCAGGTAACAGGGGCGGGCCAGCATAATGCCTGAACCTTTCAGTGGGGGTGGCTTCCTGTAGCTTGGGAGAGAGAGACGGGCTGGGTGGGGGTGGGGGTTGGGGGTGTTGGAGATCTGAATGCAGGTGTTCATATTTGGTCAACCTGTGAGTCACAACCCCCTTGAGAGTTGAATGACCCCTTCACAGGGGTAGCATGCCAGATATTCCACATATCAGATATTTACATTATAGCCCATAGCAGGAGCAGAATTTCAGTTATGAAGTAGCAATGAAAATAATTTTATGGTTGGGGGTCACCACAACATGAGGGACTGCATTAAAGCAACAATAGGAAGGCTAAGAACCACTATTTTAGCATCTACTAATCTCTTCTTCAAATGACTTAATACAGTTAAGTAAACATCAGATAGTTATACCATGTGACATGCTCAGGGTTTAGGGTGAAGTGATTGGCATGTCTGCAGGGGTGAAGTGATTGGTTGGAGTGTCTGCAGAGATGAAGTGATTGGTTGGCATGGGCCTGCAGGGATGAAGTGATTGGTTGGAGTGTCTGCTGGGGTGAAATGATTGGTTGGAGTGTCAGCAGGGGTGAAGATTGGTTGAAGTGTCTGCAGGGGTGAAAAGATTGGTTGGAGTGTCTGCAGGGGTGAAGTGATTGGTTGGAGTGTCTGCAGGGGTGAAGTGATTGGTTGGAGTGTCTGCAGGGGTGAAATGATTGGTTGGAGTGTCTGCAGGGGTGAAGTGATCGGTTGGCATGGGCCTGCAGGGATGAAGTGATTGGTTGGAGTGTCTGCAGGGGGGAAGTGATTGGTTGGAGTGTCTGCAGGGGGGAAGTGATTGGTTGGAGTGTCTGCAGGGGGGAAGTGATTGGTTGGAGTGTCTGCAGGGGGGAAGTGATTGGTTGGAGTGTCTGCAGGGGGGAAGTGATTGGTTGGAGTGTCTGCAGGGGGGAAGTGATTGGTTGGAGTGTCTGCAGGGGGGAAGTGATTGGTTGGAGTGTCTGCAGGGGTGAAGTGATTGGTTGGCATGGGCCTGCAGGGATGAAGTGATTGGAGTGTCTGCAGGGGGGAAGTGATTGGTTGGCATGGGCCTGCAGGGATGAAGTGATTGGAGTGTCTGCAGGGGGGAAGTGATTGGTTGGCATGGGCCTGCAGGGATGAAGTGATTGGAGTGTCTGCAGGGGGGAAGTGATTGGTTGGCATGGGCCTGCAGGGATGAAGTGATTGGAGTGTCTGCAGGGGGGAAGTGATTGGTTGGCATGGGCCTGCAGGGATGAAGTGATTGGAGTGTCTGCAGGGGGGAAGTGATTGGTTGGCATGGGCCTGCAGGGATGAAGTGATTGGAGTGTCTGCAGGGGGGAAGTGATTGGTTGGAGTGTCTGCAGGGGTGAAGTGATTGGTTGGAGTGTCAGCAGGGGTGAAGAGATTGGTTGGAGTGTCAGCAGGGGTGAAGAGATTGGTTGGAGTGTCAGCAGGGGTGAAGAGATTGGTTGGAGTGTCAGCAGGGGTGAAGAGATTGGTTGGAGTGTCAGCAGGGGTGAAGAGATTGGTTGGAGTGTCAGCAGGGGTGAAGAGATTGGTTGGAGTGTCAGCAGGGGTGAAGAGATTGGTTGGAGTGTCAGCAGGGGTGAAGAGATTGGTTGGAGTGTCAGCAGGGGTGAAGAGATTGGTTGGAGTGTCAGCAGGGGTGAAGAGATTGGTTGGAGTGTCAGCAGGGGTGAAGAGATTGGTTGGAGTGTCTGCAGGGGTGAAGTGATCTGCATGTCTGCAGCACAGGTAGGAGGAACTGCTCAGCTTTGCAGAGAGGACTCAGGATATTTCCTTGGTCTAAGAATGATAAAAGAAGCAGGGGTCCTGAAGTGTGAGAATGACACACATTTTAGCTTCAAGTAAGTCTGTCCTTGTCACCATTTGTCACAGTTGACGCTTTTATCCTCCTTGTTCCTAGCAGGAGTGTGTGCAGGGGCTGGCTTGTTTCTGTGATGCCCGCTCACATCAAGCACTTGTCACACCAATGCATAGCCTGTGGAACTGAACAGCTGCCCCGTGGGGGGTGGGGTGGGGTGGGGGTGGGGAGGAGTGACTGAACGGGAAACATTACTGTGATCCACTCTGTATTCTCAATCACAAGGTAACTGAATATTCAGAGAAGAACGGCAGACTATTTTCTCTTAGATCGCATGAAAAACCAACAAACAAAAGCTAGCCTAAACGGTTGGCCCTTGGAGTGTATGATAAAATTTGTCTTACTGGACCTTTTGTTTCTTTCTCCTGTTGGATGACTTTTATTTTGTGTGTGAGTGTTTTGCTTGCATATATGTATGTACACTTCATGTATGTTTGGTCCCCACAGAGGCTAGAAGGGGGCCTAAGCTTCCATGGAACTGCAGTTACAAATGGTTATGAGCCACCACGTGGATGCTGTGAATCCAACCTTTGTCCTCTGCAAGAACAAAGTGCCTTTGACTGCTGAGCCATGTCTCTAGCCCTACCTAAATCTTACCTAGATACCAGTTTGATTATTCCATGATGCCGTTGTGTTAAAATGACAGTGTTTGATGTTTTGGGTAGTGGGCATTGGAAACTTACAGTGTCTGTCAGTCAAGGAGACAGAGTTCCCTTGGTAAGGCTGTTATTCTTTTGTTTAAAAAGAAGAAAAGAGAAATGCTGAGACATGAGACATGTTGACTATAAGTTTATTATAAGGCCCGGCAGAGTAGGGAGCCTAAGAAGAGGAAAGGAACAGGGATAATGGCTGACCGCCATGGCCGGTCGCCGCAGAGAGACAGAGCGAGAGCATAGGTGAGAGAGGAGACAGGAAGCTTTGAGAAACAGAGGAAACAGAGCGTAAATGGGCAGGTACCTGTCTTTTAAAGGGGTCCTCTGCACCTGCGTGCAGACTTAGTTCCCATGGAACCTTGGGCTGACCAGGGTACTGCCTGTCCCACCAGGTAACAGGGGCAGGCCAGCATAATGCCTGAACCTTTCAAAGGCATTGTAAGGTAGCAGCTTCTAATACTAGTTTGGAGCTGTGGACTTGGCTGTGTGAGGAAAGCCCTGGCTGCCCAAACTTGAGGACCAGATATTGGGGTCCCCAGAACCCGCTTAAAGCCAGACGAAGTAGTGTGTGCTTTTATTCCCAGCGCTCCTGTGGTGAGATGTAGGGCAGAGAGAAGAAAATGCTGTGAGGGGGTGCAGTAAAGAAACTGACTATGTGATCGATCCGTTAGGAGGGAGGACTCTATTGTGGGTTAGAGAGGGAAAATATCCAGGGGCATGTGGGGGAGAGCCGAGCCCAGGAAAGAAGGCAGACTGGACATGGGCGGGGCTAGGGAAATGGAAGAGCAGGAGTGGGGGATGGGAGACAGCAGGAATAGCAGGAGAGCAGCCAGAGAGTGTGGGGCGGGTGGCGGACAGTCGTACAGATTACAGGAGGCTGAGCAGCTGGGGGAGGACTCCCTTTGGGGATAGAAAACCAACCCGTCTCACAAGTTCCTGAGGAATGCTGGCTTTTATCTAACCACCAGAAATCCTGTCATGAATTCAGCTTGAGCTCATTTCTAGACACAGGGGAGGGGGGTAGGGCGTGGAGGGATGGCGTGGCTGAGACCTAACAGATACCCTGGAGGACAGAGGGCTGCTAGCAAGCCCTATGCAGTGGGGAACGACAGAGGCCCAGGTTAGGAGAAGGTGAGGCCTACCATTTCGGATTGTCCTCTGACTTCTCAGGTTCAGGGTCAAGTGCATGCATGTGCAGGTGTACACACGCGAGCACACACACATGCACACACAAAGAGCCAAAACCTAGAATACTAGCTTTGTCTTGTTTCTTTTTGAGGACCGTTGGCTGCTGCGCTTGGGAATGGTTGTCAGTGTTTTAGTGCCTGGTGTCTTTGTTCTTGCAGGCAGCTGTGTTTCTGCTTCCAGTTACAGAGTGTCCTTTTCTCTCCCTTTGTAGATTCGGAGGAGACGCCTGGCACGACTCGCTGGTGGACAGACCTCCCAACCGACCACCCCACTCACCTCTCCCCAGAGGGAGAACCCTCCGGGACCTCCAATACCTGCATCAGCCCCAGGCCCCTCCCAGAGTCTTGGTCTCAATGTCCACAACATGACCCCAGCTACCTCCCCCATAGGTACAGCAGGTGAGCCTCAGCCTCTAACCTGGAAGTGATTGTACTTCTGATGTCATCATCCTAATGTCACCACACAGATTAAAGCAGTCAGTGGCCTAGAGGTCACTGCAGCGCGTTTGTTTCACTGTTTCTGTCCATTTTGATAGTGCCATGGAATGCTCCTCCCCCTCCCTGTTCTCTCTTCTCTCTCCCCTCTCTCCCCTTTTCCTCCCCGCCTAGCAGGCTCAGGCCTTGCCTTGCCCAAGACCGAAAGCCTGTGTTCTACCAGGGTACTCTGCCATCCATCTAACCTAGGGGCTGCCAGAGGGCTTGGTGGGTAAGGTGCTTCCTGCACCAGTGTGAGGACCCAAATTCTGGTCCTCTGCACCCATGTAAGAGCTGTGTTCAGGAGCTTGTGCCTGTAACTAACACTGAGTAGGTAGAGACAGAGACTTAGGACTCACAGCAAGTCTAGCCAATAGGTGAATTCCAGGTCCAGTGGGAGGCCCTGTCTCAAAAAATAAGAGGACGACACCCACCACCAGCTTTGGGTTCTTTTTGGGACAGAGTTTCTCTGTGTACCCCTTCCTGCCCTGGAACTCACAGAGATCCTTCTGTTTCTGCCTGCCAAGAGCTGGGATTAAAGGTGTGCGACACCACTGCCTGACTTCACCGTCATCTGTTGATTTATGCATGCATGCACATGTGCTTTTGAATGCGCGCACACACACACACACACACACACACACACACACACACAAATAATCTGCAAATGCAAGATGGAAGTAATGGTCAAATGACGAACCTCTGGTTACAGATGTCTCGTCTTTGGGCACAGAACTTTTTCTCTGAATTACACTGGATACCAGGAGTGCTGTGGATGGCAGAGCACTTGCCAGCCTGTGTGAGACCCTGGGTTCAATTCCCAGCACCACAGGAATCAACTCCACCAATATGATATTTGTGGCTGTTTCCTTGGGAGCAGCTTACCTCTTAGAAGGGATGTTCAGGGTTGTCTTTCTTAGGAATTGGTGATAGCCACTCATATGTGTACCTGAAAGTATTTTTCCTACATGACTTTTCTATCAGACATGGTAATCTCGTCATTACTATTTTTATAGTTATAGGAAAGATAGAGAAGTGCTGGGAGAGCCATGTGTGTCGTGTATAAGAATCTGCTGTGCTCTGCCGTAACCATCCAGTCACCCCGTCTCTTGTCGCTGAGAACATTTGCAGTTTCTATGGCCTTAAGTCATTAAGCTTTAGTGGAGGCTTCTTCAGTTCTCTGAGAAGCATTCAGGATTCCAGGAGTAAGTTTGTCTTTTCCTTGGGAAACATGCTCAGAGCTGTGCTATTTTCTTGCTGTGATCTGGAATTTGTTTTTCTTGCTTGGTTGCATCACAGTTCTGGTTACATCCATTCCCCACCTGCTGTCTGTCTCCTGCCCTGGAGCAAGGCTGGAGAAGAGCTCACACAGCCATGTGGTCATTTAAAATCCATGATCACAATTTCAAGGAGACCCCAGTACATCCAGGTAGCTATGCCATGTTTCCCTGTTACTTCTCCCACCCTGCTACCAAGTGTGCAACACCTCACTGTCCTCAGACTCTCAGTGTGTGGAGAAAACACACATGCAGAAGGAGCAGTTTTGCCATCGCTTCATCTGGCTACCGTGGACGTGCCCAGTTCTTGTTAGGACACGCCGTCTGCCCACCCCATCAATTCCTCTCACCGTGCAAAGCCTCGCTTCCCAAAGCTCCTTTTCCTCCCAATCGTGGGAGGCTTTATACCCAGGTGGACTTTTGCTAGCGGCGCTGAGACATTGCAGGTGCGTGGCACAGGTCTGGTGCTTCTCCCTTGGTGACACTGGCAAAATGGAAGTCCCATCCATCCCATTTCCCTGCAGCTCCCACCCATTTCCAGCAAGCCTTCAGGAATAAGGCCCCAGTCCTCTGTCTTCGAACTTGCACCCTGTGCTGACCTGGATGAGCATGGGGTTGGGGCTCTGCTGAGCCTGTCTCTCTATCAGGGTCACTTGGGTGGCCTTCACTCTTTGCCCCCTGAAACCCCTTTTAGCTTCTGGAACACCCTCTGGCCCTGGTCTGCATCCTCCCAGTTCCTTGCAGGGTTCCTTTTCACGCCTAATGTCCGCCAGGTTCACTGTTGAAACTCTTGGACTCTTTATCTGTCTTTATTCTCTTATTGATTTCATCTAGTTTCCTGGCTTTGATTATATAAGTGCTTAGTTTACATTTCCAGCTGAGACCTGAGTCTTGAACTTCAGACTCTTACAACCCATTTGACTTCTGCTTTTGCATCTAACCATCGTCTCATAGTTAGAATATTAAATGCGCCTGTATATGTGCCTGTTCCTGTGTGTGGAAGCCAGTAATGGGTGTCAGATATCCCACTGATTTTATGAGACAGTCTCTTACTTGACCCAGAGCTTTCAGATTTGGCTAAATTGACTGGCCACAAGACCCTGAGGTCCTTCCTGCTCAGTTTCCTGAGGGCTGGGATGCCGGCTGTGCGTGGCTGAGCTTTCTGTGGGTGCTGGTGATCTGAACTCAGGTTCTCACGAGTGCCTGGCAAGTACTTTCCTTAGTGAGTCGTTCCCAGCCCCTTCACATCGAGTTTAGGGGGTGGTGAGATAGATGACTCAGCAGGTAAGTGCTTGCTAAGCAAACTTGATGACCTGAGATCAAACTCCAGAACCCATGTAAAATAGGAAGGCAAGAACTGGTTCTACAGGGTGATCCTTTGCCTCTCTACACATGCTGTGGTGTGTATGAGTCCCTCCCCCCCACAATAATAAAATCAAGTTTTGACATTTCCTCATATCTCACCCTGGGTCCACACTTGTACATCAGTTCCAGAATCATAGAAAACCAAAATGAGGGCGCTTGCTGCCAAGCCTGCCAGCCTGAACTTAGTCCCCTGGACCTACATGGTGGCAGGAGAGAGTATGCCATGGCCTTTGACCTACTACATACACACACATACACCATTCACACACACACCACACACCATATACACACCATACACACACTTACACACACCCCTCACACACCCTACACACACACATACACACACACACACACACACACACAAGCAGCTTCCTGCACCCATAAATAAATGAAGGTGATTTTAAAAAGAAACAATAAAGTCCAAACCAAACCAAGCAAAACAAATGTTTTTGTTGTCCCTTGCTCAGGAAAGCTCCCCTTGGCCGCTGTCTGAAACTGCAGCCGCTTTCTGATGTAGGCTCTGTTCCTCTCTGCTCTTACTGCCCCCATGCTACTTGTACATCTTGAGTTGTCTTGTTTTAATTTTTAGACATAGTCTTGCTGGGTAGTCTGGTCTGGCCTTAATCTTGGGATCCACCTGCTTTTACCTCCTTGGTGGTTTTCCATGTCCACGGGACCGTGTCTGGCTGTGTGCCCTGTCTTGTCTGCCTCCCCAGATGGCGTGGAAACTCTCTGCTCTGGTCAGGAAGTTGTGCTTGTTTGCACACACCTGTGCCCCGTGGGCTGTCACTAGAGTCTGGCACAGAATTTAAGATGGGGTGAATTAGTGAATGAATTACTAAGAGAAAATGACCAGAACAACGTGGGCTTGTGTAGCTTAAAGAAATTTCCAGAAATTATGACAGCTGCCATTTTAAAAATGAATAGTTGTCAGCTGTGGTGGCGTATGGCTTTAATCTCAGCACTGGGGAGGCAGAGGCAGACGGATCTACGGAGTGAGTTCCAGGACAGCTAGGGCTACCCACAGAACCTTGTCAAAAAAAACCCCGAAAAGAGAAAAAAAAAAAAAAAAAAGAAAAGTTATCGGCCTGCAAGATGTCTCAGCTGATTAAAGCACTGAGGCAGGAGGATTATGGACTGTGTGGTGAGACTTTAAAAGTGTAGACCAGGCTGGCATTGAATTCACAGAGATCCTCCTGCCTCTGTCTCCTGAGTGCCAGGATTAAAGGTGAGGTGATGCCACCACATTTGACTAGATTTATTTTAAATCACGTATGTATATTTATTTTAAATCACATATGTATATGTGTAAATGTGTGCACATGTGTGCAGGTGCCCACAGAGGCCAGTGGAGGGCATTGTAACATCCTGACTTGGGTGCTGGGAACTAGACCAGGTCCTCTACAAGAGCAGCGAGTGTTCTTACATAGTCCCTGCAGCACGCACCTTGTCGTGTTTGTCCCCTTGTCCCAAGCCCTGTGCTAGCACATTCCTAGTGAGGCCGTTGTTTTGCCAGCAGTGTTAGAACTGTATGAGGTGAATTTTGTGCAGGTCCCTCCTTTCCCTGTAGCCAGCAGTCTGCCTGGATGTTTCTCCTGCAGAGAAATTCATCTGTGTACTGTGCATTTCCTTCTAAAATTAAAGAAAAAAGGACAAATACTTCAGATGGATATGGAAACATAACCAATGGCTGTGGAGCCATCTCTCCAGCCCAGGAACATAATTTTTTTTTAAAAGATTTATTTATTATGTATACAGTGTTCTGCCTGCATGTATACCTGCAGGCCAGAAGAGGCAGAAGAGGGCACCAGATCCCATTACAAATGGTTGTAAGTCAACATGTGGTTGTTGGGAATTGAACTCAGAACCTTTGGAAGAACAGGGAGTGCTCTTAACCTCTGAGCCATCTCTCCAGCCCCCAGGAACATAATTTTTAAGACATTGATGAGCAAAGTTCTCTGAGAAGTAGTCTGTCTCTCTGTCCCGATGCCGGTAGGTTTCATAACCACCATAAGCTCTGTGGGGACAAGGGCGGTCTCAGCCTTTTATTTTCTCCAACATATTCAATCAATAAATGGCCGAGCTGGTTGTGGTGGCCCACGCCGGTAGGATTTGCTGAAGTAGGCGGAGGCAGGAGGTGGTGCACGCCTTTAATACCAGCACTTGGCAGGCGGAGTTCTGTGAGTTTGAGGCCAGCCTGGTCTACAGAGTAAATTCCAGGACAGCCAGGGTTGTTACACAGAGAAACCCTGTCTTCAAAACCAAAACCAGAAACCAAAAATAAAAAATGGTTGGATGTACTGACAAGATGGAGCAGTGAACCCAGGCTACATTTTTAGCATTCCGGAGAGTTTCAGTTTTATCTCCAAGTCAAAAGACTGGCCACAAACACATAAACCCGCACCATTTGGATTCTGCCATTGACATTTGTTACTGGCTTTTCTGCATGTCAGTCTATAAATGTATCTTCTTTCCAGTGCATTTCAAGGATTTTTCTGTACTATTGGATCAGTGAGA